AGCCCCAAGGTTTATGATTTAACTCATTACAGTGTTTCAATCTGCCTAATAAACCAGAATTTTAAGGATCCCGAGTTGGACATTTGTAGCCAACAACATTAACAGAGCTCTGAAATGAGAGAGGCAGTCCCTTCAATCTGCAGAATTGCTGACCAAAGGTAGTAGATCTAGAGGTAGGTAAGTCAGTCTCCAGTCAAATGATCAATACTGGCTTTCCATAAAGGGTTGGATCACAGCACGGTATGCAACATGTGCACAAGGAGAATTGTGGAACTACAGCAAAGGTGTTGAGGAACAAGGATTCTGCCATAGTGGTTGAGAGCATTTAGCAGTGGCCAAGTTATATAGGGAAGTATGGTTTGGGGTGAAAGACCAGGATGTTCTTGGATAATTATATACTGTTTTGTGTACCCCCTTGTTTTGACCTGTAAAGAACCCAGCCTGAACATACAAGCCTGCTACCTCCTCCAAACTGAGCCTGATCTCAGTTGAAGCTGTAAAATCCAGGCTTCTAGATCCAGAAGGGTGTTATGTCAGGGTCGACTTGGTAGTTTTACTAAAAAGGTAGATTATGGATATATGCAGGATGGTTTGGATAGGGACGGTCCTGCCTCAGACAGAGGATTGAACTAGATGATCGATGGAGGACCTTCCAGTCCTTTTTCTAAGTCAGGGGTTCAGCCCCCCAGGGAAGAGGAAGTCATAGCACAGCCAGAGGTGGGAATTCCTGCCTGTCCCCTGTGGCAAGGGCAGAAGTGGGCAGAAACAGGGATTACCAGCCTGACTTTACAGATAGGGAGTCTTGGCACAGACAAGGAGTATGGCTCGCCCAGGGTCCCACAATGAGTCAGCGACAGAGCTGTGGTAACTTTAACATTCATCTGAACATGGACTAATCCTTCATTTATTTTCCCCACAAGCAAGCTTTCAAGTGATGTGGGCCTGATAGGCCCAATTATTACAGTGTAATCTGGTGGCCATATTCTTGGTACAGGACTGAAGTAATTCCTCCTGGGCACATCTACACGAGACATTTACTGTGGAGCTGCCTAATTAGCTCTGCAGTAAACACCTCTGCATCTACACATGTAGCTCTATTAGGCCTCAGGAACCTAATAACCCTGCCACAGGATAGTACTTGTGCATACAAGTACTAGCATGCTGTAGAGTTTTTTCACGTGCAGCAGTGCATGTGTAGACGCTGATGCAGCTGGCTGAGGCAGGAGACTGCTTCAGTGTGGGAAGCTGCCCGCTGGCTAGCCCCACACTGATGCACCCTTGTGCCCCAGCCAGCCCCTCCACAGCACATTTTGTTGGGGGGGGGGGGGGCAGCCCCAGGCTTGCAGGCTGACCCCCAGGAGCCCCATGCCAGCAGGGGCTACTCCAGCCTGGCTCAGTGTGCTGCACTCCCAGTCACACGTGCAAATAGTGTGTCTGGAGCAATAAACTCTGGTGTGATAAGCACCAGAATTTATTACAGTGCATTAGTAGGCATGTGTAGATGCACCCACTGAGGACACCAAGATACTCCATCTGGTCCTGGATAGGGTATAAAATCCTCTAGACACACAGTCCTGTCATTCAGCCTCAGAGCTCCCTCCTAATACCCTTCACTCAACATACTCAGAGGATAAGCTGAACACAGCTGGCTGTATGCTATTACCTTGTAATTTGGCTTTGATTCCTATGGGTGAGACTGGAACAGTAGAGGTTGCTGGACCGTCTCTCTTCTTCCAGGAACTGTGCAGCAGATCCTACCCTCACCTCGCTCACCTTCTGGATCTCATGGCTGTTCTTCTTGAAGAACCACTGATGATTCTCAAAGCACTTACTGCAGAAAAACTCCTGGCACTCAGAACACCTGAACTGTGCTTCTTCTTGGCAGCAGTCACAGACCAAGTCAATGCCTGTGACAATCTTCTTATAGATGTTCAGCTTCCACTGCAAGCTGGTGTACAGCAGGTTGTCCTGTTCTGGAATCCCTCTGGCTTGCGAGATAGGAGCCTCGCAGATGGGGCATTGGCCAATGGGCTTGTTCTCTTGCAGACAGTCAGTGCATAAGGTGTGAAGGCACGAAAGGAGCTTGGGGTTTTTAGATTCTTTCTGGCATCCCTCACAGAGCAGAAACTGGAACTCTTCCTCCATAATGGCTGGGACAGAGAGAGAGAGAGAGAGTGTGTGATGGGCAGTTATAATAATTGTACACAGCAGATGTGTAATTACTCCTGAACTTTTCATTTGCACCTGCTTACTGACATGTTGCAAACTTTTAGCTTGGGATCTCATGCATGCTGGCTTGCTGCAGGAGAGCATTGCTTCCAGCCACCCTATGCTAGTACAGCTTCATGCTTTCCTTATCATGGGTCTTACCTGAGTGACAAGAGTCTTATAATTCATAGAATCATAGCGAAGTAAGGCTGGAAACAAACTGAGGAGGTCATCTAGTCCAACCCACTGCTCATGATGGGATTAGCCCTATCTAAACCATCCAAGACAAATGTGGCTATACACAGACCCCATTTTATCCTGGGACAAAATGCAATTGTTCAGATGTCCATTCCCATGGTTCTGGGATAAACCCTAAAAAGTTCATGGGACAAGAAGTACTAATAGGGAGGACTGACATATTGTCTTATGGTGATGTAGTAATGTGCCATGTCACCGTATGGAGTGCTACAGCAACGTAGCAATTACATGGGTCTACACATAATTGCCAGCTATGTTGCCATAGCGGTGCACTTCCCTGCACCATAGCAATGAAATCTAACCATACATCGTGCACAAAGCGCAGTAACCACCCATATTGCACCATGCTTTAGTACTTCTAAAATGAATTACTAAAGCACGGTAACATGTAGACACACCCATAATTTATCCTGGGACATCACAAAGTGCATCTGAACAGTTGTCCTTGGATTACATCATTGAATCAATGGCAGAAAAGTAGCAGTGCATTATTCAGCTGCTCGCAGAATCCTGATTAGAAGAGCAATGTGTATATATGCCAATCCTGGGCTATTTCTGTTCTGGGATAAACACAGGTATAACATGTCCAGGAACAAATGCGACAGCTGTTCCTAGCCTGTATGTCTAAACTATCAATAAAACTGCATGAACAACCATCTCACACACTTACCAGACACAGCACCCTAAGACACCAGGAACACTTTAACAGGTAGAGCAAGGGTATGAGGGCACTGTAAGTGTCTTGCTGCTGTAGTTTGCTAAAATACACTGAAGAGCTCCAGTACTATGTACCTCTCCAGGAGGTTATGAGGGTCCCAAGATAAATTTGGGATTCTACTAAGCTGCAGCACTTTACAGTCCTCCTGCAATGTTGCAGCAAGGCAATGTTTCACTGCCATCTTGGGACGCCCGCTGATGCCTCACTTAGCCACCATGGACAATGCATGCTTGGTGGTGCTGGATAATTGATGTTATGGTGAGGAACGTGAAGCTGGTGAGGAGCCTGCTGCACGTGAAAAAACACTGCCGCAGGCTAGTATTTGCATTTACAAGCCGTTATATTTAGCATGGGGGCTGTCATCTGGCAGCCTGGCATGGCCTTAGGCTGGGCATGACTGTGGTCAGGGTTCTTTGGGACAATCCTCTGGTGGCATCGACAGGAAGTTTGGGGTGGCCCAAGAAGTATTTTGCCCTGTAATCCCATCCTAATATGACCTTCATTTAGGGCTCTGTACTTGAAGCGGGATATTGTTTTACATATTAAATTAGTAAATATGCATAGCTAATGCTATTCTCTCTTTAGGATGTGTAATGCATTAATAACAAGCTTTAATTGGGCATGGATTAGCTTTAAAAAAGGAACTGGGAATAAGATATGTCAGGGCCCAAAGACAGGGCCCACTTGCCTCCTCTCCCCAGGTAAGAACCCCTTGCTAGAAATTTGGGGGCTGCTGTATCTCAGCATTTGCAAGCTTATCTTGCAGCCGCCTGGCATGGTATATGGATGTGGTCTTGCAATGCCAGCTGATGCCACATTGTCCCATTCTGGACAACACATGCTGTGTCCCCCTGTGCTCCCCCTCTCAACCCTGGGGGGTCTCATCTCTGTTTACCTGGCAGATCATGACCCCGGGAAACAAATACAGGTACTCCTCACCTAACGTCGTCCCGGTTAACGTCGTTTCGTTATTACGTCTCGGATCTATTAGAGAACATACTCATTTGAAGTCGCGCAATGTTTTTTTACGACGTTAAGCGAGGAGTACCTGCACAGGAGCAACCAGAACAGCAGCTGAAGGCACGGTCCCTACCTGGAAAGCAGCAGCTTAGCAAGCTTGTGCGCTCAGGCTCCAGGGGCCAGCTGGTTTCTGCGGCAAGCACAAAGAGCTTTGTCTCTCCCTGAAACCTTTCCGCCCCGGTTTCACTTTCTCTGCAGGAGGAGGAGGAGCTGGAGGAAGTTTCCATTGCTGCCGGGCCCGGGGGAGAGCAGGCGCTGGCTGCGGGCGGTGGCGAGGCCGGCGCTGCCCGCTCGCATCTCCCTGCGGCGGCTCGCGGCGGCGCGGCGCGGCGCG